TAAAAGTCATAAAATACAGGAAAATTATAAAAATATTAAGAAAAAAATTTGGAATACATTTTTAATATATATAATATTTTAGAACAATATTTATAAATCCTTATTTTATTAAACATTAAAATCACACGTCTTCATTCTCTTAAATAGTGTCACTTATCATAATTTATTTTATTTCTAAAGAAAAAAAAAATGTTCTACACTTTTTATAATAAATTTTTATTTGCTTAAAATATGAGGGTAAATATTATATTCATATTACATATAATAACACATATGATGTTATATAATTCTACATATTTAACAAGAAATTCACACATTTATTAAATTCATTATACATTTAAAAGTATGTTAGTATTATTCTTTGTAGACAAGAAAATGTTATTTAAAAAACATATTATAATATAGAAAATAAAATCATATAATTCGAAATATATAATAAAATCTAAAAAAACATTATATACTTAATTATATTATATATAAAAAAACATTCATAATATTTGCAATTCATAATATAAAATAAATTATATATTTAATATAGTAAATAATTTTATAATAAATTAATTACTTTTTGTCTTTCATTACAATATAAATATATGTGCACTCCCATATATATAAAATACTTTATTTAAAAACACAAGGTAAATAAGTCATGCTTCTACATATATTTTATTTGCTTATTATTGCTTTAAATATTTTAATTTTGTTAACTATTAGCAAGATATTAGAACTTTTATTTCATTTTTATAAAATATATAAGGATCAAAGAATATAAGTTATCTCAATTTATTTGATTTATATTAAAAAAAAGTAAATACTATATAATAAGAGTCTACAATATATATATATATATATTAATATGAGTGTATGGTGCATTGAAAATAATTAATTTACTTGAGTATTCATATATTTACATATAAATGTGATTTTTTATTTTATATATTTATAATATTTTATTCACATAAGTGTTATATTATGCATAAATATGATAAATAATAAATGCATATAATTTAATAATATATATGACAAGCATATGTATTTTATAATGAATTAATATTTTTTGCATTATATAATGGTTTAATAATATATTTTACTTTTAAAGAAATCCTATAGGTTTGACATAGGTTATTTATTTATTATTTTTATTTGTTTTTATTCAAAGTAATATTATTCCATCATAATTTGTTATATTTTTTATTTATTCTTTTTCTTCATTTTTTTAAACTCAAATTTTTCATATCCGATGTGGGAAACAAATTATTCTTTTCGTTAAATCTAGTAAATAAAATGATAGCAATTTCTCTATATAAGCAAAAAATAAAATATATAATATATGATTTAATGTTGTTATAACTATTTTCGCATATAATTTACAAAAAAATAATTTCATAAAGATATTTATATCACTTTTCTTTAATTATATGTTGAAGAAAAAAAAATGTCTTATATTTTTTATACTCCAATTAAATACCTTGTAAATGAAGCCATAATAATTTTATGTAAATTTTACTTAATTGTTATGTGAATAATATGCTTATAAAAATCATTTATTTATTATAAATATTTAAAATGTATATAAATATACAATGTAATAAATACATATACCTCAAATATCGAGAAATAACAGATTTGGGGGGGTATATACATAATAATTTTTATTATATTTTTGACTATATTCTATACTAATGTTATACTATTTATTATATAAGTTGCATAAATTTTAATTTTTCATTTAGTTATTATTAAGAAAATGTACCTCCTCCCATAATAATAAAATATTAGATAATTATTTTTTTTTAAATATTATATAAAAACATCAGTTGTATATTATTATAATAAAATTGATAATGCTTCGTGATTATTGTATAAAATTAGTTATATGTTGCAAATTAATATATATATATAATATATGTAGTTTCTTTAACTACATATAACCCAATATATAATATATTTTATATGTACATTTGTTACATATTTTTGAATTTCCACAATGAATACACAATAAAAAGGATGGAAGTAGAATAAAATAATATATTAATATATATGCATATTAATATAGGATATATACAATATATATTAAAAGAAAAAAATAATAATGCTATTTTTTTATACTGTAAAATATTTATAAAAAGATACTTTTTCTAACTTATATATATACATATTTCATTCATCATAAAATTAGATTTCCCCATAATGACATTCTATCTAGAACAATAATCTAAGTTAATACATTTTTTATTTGTCTTTTTTATATTAAATTTTTCTTTAAAGTATTAATAAATACTTATTCCCACTAAATTAATCCATCAGTTTTCATATATTTTTTTATTATTATGTTGAGCATTAAGAAGTGTACGCTTAATATCTATTTATAAATGATAAAATTTATTATATTAGTTTTATTAAAAAATATCCTAATAAAAATAAATTAAATATAATAGTATGAAACATACGTATACTGTAAATACATTTAAATACAAAATTGTAGATCTAAAAGCATAAAAACTTGTCTATATATCTAGGAAAATTCCATAATACGGTTAATGAAGCAAAAAATTAAATATCTATTAATATGAGCACTTTTAAAACATTATATGTAGCTATACTTTAAGACATAATATGTATGTGCGTTATACTATTAATATAATTTAAAAAATTATAATGTAATTTATTCATATGGGTATGGAGTGTTAATACAAATTTATAGTATTTCAGATAATCTGTCTCTGCACATAAATATTTTTTATAATTCAGGATACATTTTATTTGTTAATAGAATTATTAACAAAGCCACTGTAACAAATTTAATATAACATAGAGTTATAAATACATCAATAATTCTAATTAATATATAATACATTTATATATATAATTCATGGAACTTATAAAAATTTTTATGAAACATAACGTTTATATATTCAAGTGCATAATTGAATGTAAAGTTTATAGGGTGCATGGATTTGAATTATTCTATTGATATATTGAGTTTTAGGTTTACGATTTTATATATATCTGTATGATTTTATTTTTACTTTTACGGTTATTTTATATATTTTTAAGATTTTTTTTTAGTACATAGTATTGCAATTATAATATCTATTTTATGTATTTGGATTACAGTATATAACATATATATTCCTTTTTAATATTTTTATTACAATGGTATGTATACCGGCATGCGTTTGGAAGATACATGTATTTTTATATATCATTCATTAATTATATTAATAATAAGGATAATATATATAATAATAATTTATTTTATATAATATTAAAAGTGTCATTTCATATATATATATCCTGTTGAATTAGCTTTTTAATTGATGGAAAAATGTTATTGATGAATGATATGAGAATACTTCTTATAGTATAAATATAATAATATTTTACACATAGAATATTTGATCTATATTATTTAAAATAATATATATTTATCATTATATAATTATATATTACAATTAAATCATATGTTTCTTTAATAATTAACAATTAATATTATAAAATTTGCTGCATGTTTTAATTTATTTACCTATTTATTTATAAAATATGAATTATTTTACATATAAGCATATTTATAAAAATGGATTAGTATGATATTTATTTTATTTTATACATTATGTATTTTACAATTAATACAAATTATATTTTTCACAATAATAGCATAATTAATATTCATACTTTAGTAATTTATCTAAAAAATTTTTTATAGATTTTTAAGATTTAGTAGAGGGTTAGATAATTTTTAAAAAAAAATATAATTTTTTCAAAAGATAAATATTAATTACATTTGATTATTATAATTTACCTATGTGATATATTCATTATGTTTACATTTACACACTTCCACATTTACATTAATTATTATTTCATGAAAATATCACAATGTTAACAAAAAAAAAATATAGTTCATATGTTGTAATAAGAAATAGGAACAAAAAATATAATATATAAGTTCTTTTTTATTTTTACAGTGAGACATATATCATATATATATTATATTTCACATAAACTTACGCTGATTGATAGTATTTAGAAAATATAATTTCAATTGTGATAATAACGGAATAATATGGATGAATAGATATATATGTCAATATATTCAATATAAAATTAGGAATAATATGTTCATCAACGAAAAGCATCCGTAAATTCGCTGTTATCAAAAATATATTATTTTATAGTTATGCACTCATAGTTTTAAATATTTTCATGATTTTATGGATATAAAAACAATGCTTTATGAACAAAAAAATACTATACGTATAGTGTATATAAAGAATATTACTAGAAATAAATTATACATATATATCTAAACAATATAATACAGTATGATACTAAAATAAAATTTATCCTTCAATAAATCCAATAATAATGTATTTTCAAATAGTAAATAAAGATAAATATAAAAAAAATTTTTTTTTTTATATGATATTTATGCATATATATATAATATAATTTAAATAATTTATAATATCATTTACATACAACAACCATATTTTAATTTAATACTATTAAATCAAAATTACAAAATTAATACGCTTCAGTCATTATAAAATAATTGTAAATCAGGATTACTACATAAATTTGAACAATTAAAAAAAAAAAGAAACTATATAATAAAAACAATAAAACAGAAAATTTATAATTTATAGAAAAATTTTATTCCTGAAATATATTCATATATACTTTTACATAAAATTAATCTCTGAAGCACTAAAACCTGATTTATGAATCCAAAAGCTACCCTAATAAAAAACCTAAACACTAAACCCTAAACTCTGCATGTCACTAATATAATGTAATATTTTTTAGTGCCTCTCTTTAATGTTCATTGCGTAAAATATATGAGAATTTATAATTCATTTAATAAAATAATTTGCAAAAATATTAAAAAATCAAATAATATTATTATAACATTACATATTTTTTGTTTTGTTATTATTTCTTTTTTAAACAAGAATTTAATTTTTAAATGCAATTAATTTTCATACACTATATTGAAATTATAAATTGTTATTATTCCTAAATCGAGGATATTCTACTGAGCTATATGCTATGCTATATTTATTATCAACAAAATTCTTGTATTCCATTTCAACGGAATCCATTGGGTCGAAATGTTCAATAGATCTTTTATTTTCCATCCTCTTTAAATTCCATACACATCGCTTTAAAGCAGGACTATAAGGAGTACACTGGTAAAAAAGCGTAAATATTTTATGTCTATACATAGAACATTAATTAAACTATATATTTATGAGGATCATATTTAATATATCTGTTAAAATATATACATATACAAAATTAAATTTATATATAACCTTATATAATATGAATATTACTAACGAAAGTGCAAACATTAATACAACAATTCCTACCCCCGTACCCGTAGCAAGGTCTGTGCTTTTTTTTGTCATATTTACCAAGTGTAATTCTGTTGATGTTTCTGTGGAACTATGTGTGGATTCACTTGTAAATTTTTTTGTGTTCTCATTTTTGAATTCTTCTGTGGTTACAATTTTGGGAATTGTGTCTACCATACTTACTATTTCTGTAGTATTATGTAATGTAGGAGCTTTAATTTTCTTCTTAGCATCTTCATACTGAGTTATTCTATTCATAATCTCATTATATTGCCCACTATATTTTTGATATATGTCAATTAAAGACCTGTTTTGTGCTCCATAATCTATTTTTAAAAAGTCCTGTAACATTGTCATAAAATCAGCTGCATGACTCAGTGCTTCTGTAATAGATTGTGGATTATCATATCTTCTAAATTTTTCAAATTCAATAATCATATTTTCAAGTTTTTGCAATGTAACAAATATTTCATCAGAGAATTCAGTATACTCATTACATATATTATAAACATTTTGAACATCAGGCAAAAAAAATTTATTTCCATTAGACATATTTATTTTATTAAAATTGGCTTCTATAGTTTCAATATTTTTACATTTATAATCTCTTAGATGTTTTTTTAGAAGGTAACGGAAATATATACAATTTTTTTTTTTTTCCATATTGCTTTTGTTATGTATGTGATATAAGTAACGACCAAGATACATACATTGAATAACGAACCCACTTAAATTACAATTATAATTCTGAGAATCATTTTTAGTAAATTCCTGGCACGATCTATAAATATGACTATTTAGATCATGATATATACCTTCAAAAGGATAAGTACTTTGAGCCTTACTATATTCTTCTTTACATTGAGGAAATATACCATTAAATTCAAACTAAAAATAGGAATAATATTGCACATATGTTTTTAATTTAGATCTGATGAAAACATTTATTATTTATTTTTTTCATATAATATATTTAAATACAAATTATAGTTGTATTAGTAGTACAACAATATATTTGAATTCTCAATTACATCCTGAGACATTATGCAATGTATGTGTAAAATAAAACAATAAGTAATTTTATATTTTTTATAATAAATTTTTAATATTAGAATTTTCTGAATAAATTGTACAACAGATCTATATATGTTATATATTAAAATTTATTAACTTATATGATCTCATTAAATTTTTTTATATATTATGACTTCGAATTATAGTTAATAATTCATAAATAGCACATCTATTCATATGGATACATAATATGAAGCACAGATATATGATTATCGAATAAAAAAATAACATTAAGTAATATAAAACGTACTTCTATAAATGCTATATATATATATATATATATTAATATATTTGTTGTATGGGAATACTACATAGCATATATTTATTTAGTCAAAAACACTGAACTCGAATATTAACATATATATTTATAATTTTGTTCTTAATACAGAATATCATTCGCCCTTTTTTCTATAATTTATTTTCTTGGGTTTATCCTATACTTTTAATTTTATTGTTCAAAGATAATTATTTTTATAAAAATTTCTGTACGTTAGATACAGTAATTACACTATTCCTATTAAAAGATTAATAAATCCATAATAAAATATGTTATTATAAATTATTAAATCACTTATAAATTTTATATTAAATGTATTTTATGCAATTTAATCTAAATTAGTGATTAATACATCTATAACATGCAATGTAGTTCAATATTTTAATAATATATATTTATTATTTCTTATAAAAAATTATAAAACATTTTATTTTACGTTCATATTACAATAAATTATAGGTAATATAATTACTATGATAATTAAAATATTATTTAAGAATTAAATTATGTGTTAATTATAGGGATAGCATGTAGTTAATATTATACCAATACTTTATGATTTATTCATACATATAATAGATTGTTATATATAAAAATAGCTTATCACACACAATACATTAAAATTAAAATATAATTATTTTATTTATATTTCTCTTACGCTATATATACAATATGTAGTTATTATTACCCTAGATATATATTTAATCCACGTTCATATTTCGTATATTATACAAATTAATTTATACATCCTCAATAAATCATATAGTACAGTCGATATATAATATAAAGTAATACATTATTTATTCCTTATATAAATAAAAATGAATTTGAAGATTTTATTATATTTTTCCCTTATCAAAAATATTACATTCATAGTACATATTTCTACGTTTATTTATAATTCAATTAAAATTTGTGTTCTATGTGAGTAAATTATTTTGTATTTAAATTGTTAAATAATTGTAAAATATTTATAAAAATTGAAAAGTCTATAATACTTAATTACACAATATACATACTTGATATATTAAAAAAGCTGAATTTTTTACCAAATGATTTTTGTTTTATAATGTGTAATAAATATAATATTTTTTTTTTATTAAGTTGGAAGCTAAATTAAATGATTCCTTAGTACATAAAATACATGTATTCATTAAAAAATATATTAATTTAGGAATTATTTGTTTTCTTTTTATTATTATAAATCTAATTATTATACATTGTTTAAAATCCTATATTATACAAGGATACAAATAAATATTTCTCTGATTAAAATCGGTTCATATGCCAAGAATCAGTGTGTTTTTAAATTAATGCTTTTTTTATTAACCATAAGTAATTCAAAAAATAAAACTAAAATATATTCAATAAAAATTTAGCTAAAGATTATTTTATTAGTAATAATTATTCTCCAATAAATTGGATTATAATGATTAAAAAACATGAAATATGTATCTAATTCATTATATCAGAAAGCAAAATATTTGAAAATAAAATAAGTATAAAATGATACATGAAATAAATAAATAGATATTTTTATTTTTATCAATTCACTACATATATTCTTTGATTAAGACATTTTTGTATAGATTTAAGTATATTTGTGTATTATTGATTCAAAAATATATTTAAGATTTTTTATAGAATATATTGTATAATAATATATACGAGTATAAAATATATTCTAATAAGCGTATTTAAGTACTTACTTAAGTCTAAAAATTATATAATTTACTCACTTACATAACTATAATTATTTTTAATTTTTATTCATTTACTCCAATATTTAATTTTATAGTATATGGTTCTGTGTACAATATAAATTTATTTTATTGATGTTATATATTTAACGTTTACTTATAATAATATATTCCTTTATAATATTAGTATTTTAAATAATTGTACCTTCTTGTTACAGATAGGTTTATAAATTCAAATAGGTCAAATACCTTTTAAACTATATATAAGGGAGATATTTTTCATTATAAATAATTTCATAGTGAATACAATATATCTATTTACATTTTGTATTCTATTATGTATATATATTATACATGGAATTATGTTATGTATGATGTATGGATAATATGATGCAATAGAATGTTTTTTTATATTATATACAGAAAATATGTTAATTTATTTTTTAAATATTATATTAATTAATTTATTATTTTATATACTATTAACAAATTTACTTTTATTTTCATTTAATATATTATATTCCATAAATTATCTTATATATTATAATTTTTTTATTTATTTCCATAATAATTACAGAAAATTGCATATAAGCATAATATTAATAAATAATTTCTATTTTTTATACTCTAATAATAAAAACACTGAATAAATGGAATAATATGTTATAAAAATATAAATTTTCTTGTTTCATGAATGTGCACACACTTTTCATATATGATATTTTTATTATAATAACGAATAACTAATATATCATTATTTTTTTCTTATGAAAATATTTCCTTTAATTTATGCATACTATTATGTTAAATTGTACAAAGAGCTTTGTTCATGATATATAATTTATATGAAGCATATTATCATTTTTATTTACATTTATATATTATGTAATATAATAACTCATATTTTTAATGCTTAAGCCTGAAATTATTTCTTTTTTTTTTGTCTATAATTATTCGTATATGCAATGAAAAAAATATACACTATAATTTAATAAAATATGATGCGACTAAAAGTGTAGATATATATTTTATTAATTTATTATGAATGAATTAAAAAAAATATTATTTACATAAATGTTCCTTCTTATTTATTTTTTTTTTGCGCACTATATACGCTTTTTATAAAAATATGTTCAAAAAACGATACTTAATTGTACAAACAGAAACATCTATGGGATATAATAGTACTAATTTTACATAAAATAATTAGAATAATATTATTATGTCACATCATTATTATCTGAATAAATAAAGAACATACAATAAAGCTAGACACTATATGTAAAATTATATATATCCATTATAATGTTATATGAATTGGGCGTAAGATAATTTTCATATTTTAAAAATTAATGAATTAAAATTAAATTATTTTATGTATTGTCACTGTAATTCATTACGTATTACGAACATATTATTACGTAATAATCTATAATAGTATTGTACATAAATAAAATAATATAATGATAAGGAAAATTTATATGATAATGCATTCGTATATATTATATGTATATATAATATTTATGATGTGATTAATAAAAATAAATTTACAAATTATTATTTTTCAAATTTATTATAATAGCCTATATTATACAAGTCATAATCGTATAAATGTTTACGCTGCACTAAATTATAATATACTTCTTAGATTTCTATATACCTTTATATTAACCACTCCAAAGAAAACCATCAAAAATTAAATACTATCTTTGACTGATTTATCCACAGTTATAAAGTTAAGAAAAAATATATCGTGTAAACTAATTAGTAAATGAGATAAGAATAAATATAATATTTTAATGATGTTTAACTGAGCGTCTCATATAAACAAAGTTAAATGACGAAATTCTTAAAGAACAATATGAAATTGATGTCTATAATGAATATCTTTACGTAGACAGTTGCTTTTTTAAACGATCCTAAGCCACCAACTTCTTAAATATGTTAAACATATTAACATAAATATATAAATTCATGTTTACTGAAAATAAGTATTTTTAAGCAATAATAAAATAATTGTTTCTTTAAATTTTTAAAAATTATCACACATTTAAAAAAATAACTGTACATTTTTTAAAACGTGATTTAATTTTGTTACATCTAATTAACAAATATTAAAATGATATATATATAATTTTAAGCCTGTTTGCATATTTCTCATAGCATGGAGATACAATAATATAAATATATTGTTATCCTATATAATAAATATGCAAAATACATATTTCATTAATAGATTTATTATAATTATATTGCATAATTATACAATTATATGACACCTTTCTTCTAATTACAATTGCATCAACATAAAAAGGAACGTTATTAATCAAACTAAAATGTGAATAAAATTATATAATATGATTGAAAAAAAAATATCATAATTTATCTATTATAAAACTATAGTTTTCTTACTATGATTAAAAAAAAACGTTCATTCATGAATATTATACTAAATAAAACACATGTATATTGTGTTAAATACATATAATTATATGAGTATAATTTTATATACAAATATAAATATGTTACATAAAAAAATAAATTAAAAAATGTAGAATAATATAAATCATACATCAATTATACACTTAAATTATGTATCTTATTTATTATTATGGTATGATAAAATGTAATACAAATTTATTCCTCATTATGAATAATGTACACTATGAGCAGATGAATATAAACTATATAACTAAATTTTTATTATTCTTAGGCTCTATGTAATTATAAAGCGTATATATATTTACGAAATATGAAAAAAGATATAATTAATACTAATATTTTAAAGTAATATAAAAAGGACTTAAAATGTTAATGTATTTTTTTTAAATTTTCAATTCAAATTAATAATATATATATAGTATTATTTTGTCATCTGTAGATATTTATTTTAGTCATTAGCTTAAAAAAATAATATATATAAATGTTAAGTGTTTTACTTGTTATGTATAAACTTATAATATATATATAAATAATATTTACTAATGTACCAATAAAAAATATATAAATGAAAATATAATTATCAGTCATTAATTAATTGTAGCGTATTTGAAATATTTTATTGGATATTTGTCTTATATTATATAAATCCAATAAAATATAAAATATTAATTTGTTGGATCTAAATATTTATGCTTCTAAAATGTTTTACTATGAAAATGTCTCAATTTTATTTGTTATTTATATTTATTATTAAAATTAGGTAATGACATAATAAAAATATTTCTAAAAATATTATTAAATAATAGTCAAATTATTGCATATTTCACGCATTATTATATTTCAAATACATATAATAAAGATATATCAGATTCAATCTAATATTTTCTTCTCAACCATTACAATAAATTGTAATGTGTACGTAAGAAATTTTATTAAAGGCACTATTATTGTAATTAGAGTTATTATAAATATAGTTCATATACTTTTAAATGTAAAAATAATACAGATTGAGTCTTCATAATTAAGCAAAATAATTTATGAATATATTCTAAATAACAATATTCTACAACCTAAATATACATTAAATTCCTTCATTTATTAATGATATATTCACCAAATTTAAAGCATTACTTATATCATTAACTATATCGGTATATATATAAGGTATAACCTATTTTCAAATTAATAATTTCATATAAGCTCTAAAGAATTACATTCTACTTTTTATGTAAATTATATATTTTAATTAATGATATTATATATATTTATTTTCTTATATATTTCATTGAGCAAACAATTTCACTTGTAATAGGATTAAATATTACTTTCATATGTACATTTAAATTAAATAAAATATATACGTAAAAATACAAACATCCATTTTATGATTACAAACCTGATAATTAAAATTTTTTTTCATTTATTATATTATATTACCCATTGAATAAGTAAATATAGTATTATATCATTCTTACATATTGTTCAAAAATGTATTATAAAAATTTTTTTTCATCATATTTAAAAAAAATACATATATATTTCTAAAATTGTTTTATTATTTAAAATATCATTATGGAAAATGAATATATAGGATTTATCCCTATTAATGATATCTTAATTTTATATAATAATAATAATCAATATATAATTTCTGTGTTATAATATTCAAAAACACTTCCAATAACTACTCCTTTAAATAAAATTACCCCTTGTATATATGTTATTATCATATTATTTATACATATTTCATTATATTACTTTAATTATTATGTTAAATATAGAAAAATAAAATATTTACTTGAGTAATATATTAGTTTTATTAAATAGTAATATGTTTTAATTCATTATATTAATTTATTATAACAAATTCATAATACACTTAAAACTGTAAAATAAAAATAACAAGGCATAATATATTATGCATGTTATGATATTGTAAATTATTTATATATATAACATGTATAGTAAAATAAAATATATATTTCTTACAGTTTTTACATTAAAATATTAATTGTATACGATATCTTCATACAATAAATAAATAATTTTTTACAATATTATATAATATAAATATACTTAATTCTATTACATGTGCATTATACTTTTTAATACATACGAGAATAATTAATTCCTTTAAAATATATTATAAAAAATAAATTTAACATATATTTTTGTTTTAAACGTAATATACTTATTCCTTACACTATTATGTAAAGTACATTGAAATTATAATACAAAGTTCAATCAATATATGTAATGTGATGTATATAAATATTATACATTATTCTGCAACGCTCTATATGTAGAAGAAAATTCTTATCTTTCTTCTTTTTACTTATGGGACGCAATATATATTTTAAGTATTTTATTTTTTAAAATTCGACATACATGATTGATAATATTACAGAAAAATTGTTATAATATATAGGATATACATAAAAAAGGAAAAAAACTTATTGCATATGTTATAAAATATAATTTTTATCGTGGAATCATATACATCAAAAATATTATATAAATTCATTCGTTCATGTGATTTATTTTTTATAATGTTTTTGTTTAAATTTTATCGTAACCATGTATATTTTAAAGACATATTTTTTAAAGTATTAAAAAAAAAGAAAAAATTATAAGCATCATATACAGTTCATTATTTCGTTTATAGTAAATATATCTGGAATATGTTTTGTATTATTTTTTCAGAAATACACATTTATAGTTATAAGAATATATGATTTATATCTACTATAATTACAGAAATAAGAATCTATTCATATTAAGGATAAATTACATTGCGTCTTTTATACATATTAATTGTTATGTTATATTGAGTCATAAATATATTGTTTATGTGCTTAGTTTATATAACATATGTGAATATTATTAATATTATTATGGTGATGTACATTTATATCTGAAATTAATAAAATAAATAACCAATAAATAATATATAATATGCTCTTAATTGAATAATGAACCCATATAAAATATTTAATAGAAATATAATGTTAATATTTATATTTTTTCTGAGCATAATTTTATGTGATCCTTGTATCTTTGAACAATAATATAACTTTCATTTAACTTTAAATTTATAAAAATACTATATTTATTTTTTTCTTTATAAATATGTAATACTTGTTTAGTTTGTACATTAAATTACAAATTATATACATTTTGTTATAAATAGTCTAATGTTAATATAAATTATAGATAGAATTTTTATATATGTAATTGATAAAAATAAGCATTTATTACATTTATTCATTTGATTTCAATGTATACATTCAAAAAAATACATAAATATATATTATTAGATAAATATCAATCATGCATAATATATATAATTTATAGTTTATTATATAGAGCGTCTAATTTATTGTATGGGTAATAATTACATATCAGTAATAGAAAATATTTTTTTTATCATTCTATATTTTTATTTAATTTCAGAGTTATATATGTTTTTTTTCTTATTATTTTAGCATATAAATGATTGCTTCCCTTATCAAGAATGGCTTATTTAATCATATTCTTCTATATAAGAAGAATAAAATAAAAAAATAAATTTATAATAAGTGTTTAAAGCTGTTGTCGTGTATTAAAATATATTTGTATAAATATAGTATATATAATAATACTTTTACACATAAACATTTATATTTACAAAAATATAAGCTGTCTGTTCTTTAATTTTCCTAAGGTAACAAAATGACTACCCATATAACTATAAATAATGACGTAAGTCCCTACTATTAATATCAGTTACACATTACGTTAACTAATTTGAAAATAGTAGTTCGTGTATTAATAAAAAAATAAATACATTTTTATGAACATTTTATAATATTTATGTGCATTATGATTTCTTTATTTTTAGTTCGATTTTGATGGTATATTTACCAACTGTATTCAGGATTATGATGAGCATGCACTAAATAGGGAAAAACTTAAGCAACCTGAACTTCTTAATACATGTAAGCGTATTCGAGAACATTTGGGTAACTGCAAAGTAGGGATATTTTTACAATATTGTAAAGAACTTATATTATATTTGGATCATATACAAGATATAAAAGGCATCTCAGATATAAATCCAAGTTGTATATTTTTTAACTATATGCTAAAATATTTACTAAAAACTAGTGAATGCTCTATACAAGAAACTGACACAGCTTACAAAAAAATGATTAATGAAACCAAAGAAGGTACTAATAAGAAGGTTTCTGATGTATGCGAGAGCGGTTTTACAAATTTGGAAGACGATATATATTCCTTATTGGACAAACTAAAAAATCTATATATAAATTCATTAGGGGTTAACGTATGCTCTAAGGAGAGTTTTTGTTTTACGACATACAAGGAACTATTAGGAATATCTGAACGTTTAAATAACGACAGTCTTCGTACATTCCTAGACAATTTTAAATTTAAATATATGACATATTTGCCTGAAGTACAAGAAAGACTAAAACTAATGGTACATTCGACAAATCTACGCACCATACTTTTAGCTTTATTCATTATAACTTTTACAACATTAATTGTTACATTTGTTGTATACCAGGTTAAATTTAAAATTTACTTCTATAATGTAGAAAAATATTAAAATTTACATAATACTTTATTCTCAAAACTTTATATAATATAAATAATACACATAAATATATATATAAAATTATATCTAAATTATCAGTATACTTCGTATGTTTCATATTTGCAAAAAAAAGTAATGAACATAAAGAAAAGATTGAACAAAAAAAATAAAGATCATTTTAACACAACTGTTTCATCTCAATTCATAAAAAATGATTCGCTTCAAAACAAATATCAAATAGGATGCTCTTCCTTACTCTACCCATGAAAAACATATCATTACAACTAAATAATTCAACACATTTTAATTTAAACAATACGATCTAAGAATGGTATTTTTTACAAAAAGAAAAAAAAATATTATAAAAAAATTTTAATTATTTGATAATGTATGAAAATAAATGAAATATATATTTTTAAATATTTCCACATAATACACAAATATTGTAGTAATCATCATGATGTACAATCATACAACAATATGTAAACATAATTTGCAATTATTATTACTACACATTTAAAAATAGGCATATTGAAATTTATAAGGCGAAGTTTATGAAAAACATTTCATTTATAAAATACAAAATTTTTTATTACATATAATTAAAAGAAAAATATTATTATAAATGTAATGAAAAAAATAAAATGTATACTTATTGATGCAATTTACATCTAATTCAGTTTAACCTAGGACATGAAAAATGTAAATAAAAAGGGTTGTTGAGTCTATTATTTATATATTAAATGACAAATCCATATTATCATTGGAATATATTTTAACCATGCATATATACATCTAATTACTGTAGAAATAAATAATTTTTTTTATATTTATATAATTAAAACTGAACTATTATTTAAATATAACTATAAAATTTACATAATTTTCAAATTTATATATAGAATATTTTAATAGATAATAATTAAAAACATGCATGGTATATTCAAAAATAATTATTTATATCATTGTTGATGTATAATACCATAAATGCATTAAATAATATTTGTAATAGTATTATGTTCTTATATTCACATATTTAGATTTGTAGAATAATTCATTCAACGTATATATTTTTTATAACGCTTAAAAATATTGTTTAAACTTGTACATTTTATAATCCATTTTAGAATTATATAAAAAATATATAAAATAGTTATAGACACAACTAAAGTTACCTATTTATGTTATTCTAATAATTATAGATTAAATAATATAACTGGATAACATAAATAACAAACACAAACGAACAAATATAAAAGTACATGTTAAACATATATAATATAATCAATTCATAAATTTTATAATTACAAAATATAGTAATAGGGTATACAAGTGATATTAATGAAAATATAATATCTATGTTTTACATGTCTAAAAATTATTTTTCTTTGATCACTGAAAATTAAATATATCACCTTAAATTATGAGAACATCTAATAGTTTTTATAAAATAAATTGTCACATATGTGTATTTATAATAATATTATAAATATACATATAATAAATTAAAATAGATATTCCTAATGGAACAAATAGAAGTAGTATATAGTAATTATAATTCCTTTTTCTGAATTTTTCTATAAAACATTATTTTCTCTCTAACTGCGTAAATATATAAATCTTAAAAATATTGTATCTCACAAGTATCTTATATGTATATATATATATGTATTTTGTTTTTTGCCTAATATATATATATATATATATAAGTTTTAATACTAGTAAATATTTTTCATAGTATATTAAATAAGGTTGTATCTTTTTTTTCTTTCCTTGCATCATATATTTTTTGTTTCAAAAAATTTAGTTCATTTAGTTTAGAGTATATATATTTATACTTATCATTAAAATATTAATATACATGTATATTAATTTTCGTGTTTTATATTTTTTAATAATGAAGACAATAATATTAAAATAATTTTAATATTTTTATAGAAAAATATATGAATATATGATATGAATTATTAAAATTTATTTACGGAATGATATTTAAATATAACATTTTAGTATTCCTATAAAATATATCCTTATAACTTATATAATTAAAGATGTTGTATAAAGAATCGCATGTATATATAATCCATTGTAATAAATAAGAATTTATATAATAGGAAATATTATAAAGCTATATAATTTTTTTATATATAATTTCTATTCTTCCATTATTCTTAGAATAATATACGAAAGCACAATTTTGTAAGAGTAGGTTTTCATGTCATGTGTAACAAATTAAATGACTAATAAAAAAATAACTTATTTAGAAGAAATATATTTTCTAACAGCTACTGTTCCCAAATTTTATAAATAAATGACATTTTAATAAAAGAGAAACTTATATATATTCACATTTTACAGAATATATATATAAATATTTGGAATTTCTCAGTACGTTCTTAACTTGATTACAATTTTTAATCATATTAGCACATGTTTAATGTTGCTCATATATATAATGTGCATATCTAAATAAATATTTATTTTTTAATGCTTCAAGTTAAATTTATAATATGAATGACTATATAATAATATCATAAGATTTTATAGAGATATTAGCTTCATAAAAAAAAATGTTATATAAATAAATTCATAATAATATAAGCTATTATCTATATTTAATACAGTGTTCCCAGAAGGCTTTTTGAGTAATGTGTTAATATATATATATTATAATATAATGTTTTCATTATAATATAAAATAAATTCTATTGATGTGATCTTTTATTTAATAGCATATTTACATTTTGTAATCTATATAATAAATTATATACCTTATTTATTATAAGCTAAAATGAAAAAATTATTCCTCCAAAAATATTTTTATTAATACATTTAAAAAAATAATACAATAAGTTATAATTGGATAAAATTGATAATACATTAATTACAAGTTCATATATGTTAAGATATCATAAATAAAATGAACAGTATATATAAAATAATAATAAAAGTCTATAAAAATAAGATTCATATTACAAGCAAAAATTGAAATACGTATATTCTTATGACTATAATTCATTCACTGTTCATTGATATAATATTATATATATCAATTTATTTAACTATAAATAGCTTTTTTAATAACACCCAATCAACATAGTATATATTAATGTAATCGTGAAAATAACATATCAAAATATATGAGATGCAGTTTATACAAATTTCCTTAAATGTAATATAAAAATACATAATAACTAAACATTTAGAATTTATCAAATATAGAATTAATTTTTTTATTATTATTGTTTATATTATTATAAGCCATAGTAAAATAATAGATATAAGATAATAATATATTCTATTATAAAATTTAAAATAAAATATTGTAAAATATTTTTATATATATATTAACACACTTTGGCCCAATTCTTCAATTATATCTATTTATTACAAAATTATTATAGATATTAAGTATATATATTTATACATATATATATAAAAATGAATATAAATAATTATGAATATAAATATATATAATTATGATTACATTTGAAACCCAAAATAGTGTATGCAGGTTAATATACTATTTTTATTACATACATATGCTACATTATAAAATAATACGCATAAATTACACAAATATATATAAATAATATTCTATTATAAGTAATGATATATATTATACGAAAATTAAACCATAAATATAAATTTTGTTCCATTAATTCTATATTTTAATATGAAGGAAGAAATAAATATAGTCGAAAAGCTAATAATTATTTCTTGTAATTGAAGAAAAATTTTCATAAACAAAATAAAAAAATAAATAAAAATTCTCTAATATTTTATATTTATGTATATGCATCATTGAAATATATCCTATAAAAATATGAAATACAAATTTATTTGTTTGACTAGAATATACAAAAAAGAATCTATTAAAATTTTTATTATTAAATAAATATAAAAGAGTATACAATATTTTGTAATCCATTTAATTAGATTATATTTTAATTCCAGTTGTATCTTCATTTTATTTATATATTAGTTATTATAATTTTTCGTTTTTAATAGATCAGGACAAACATATTTTTATTTTTTTAATTACTAGTATGATTCTACAAAGTACTAGTAACTATTTCCCATATTATTATTATTGTATATTTATGTATCTTTATAATTTCATTAGTTTTTTAATATTACATTTATTTGAATTCCTTCATGAATAGTTTTCAGAATAATAATGAATAAATAAAAACATTATAAAAGATACAATACAAATAATTTAATGGGTTCTAATTCTCATTGACTAAAAAAATAACTAGAGAACAATCCTTACGATATAGAACATAATTTTACTTAATGAACTTAAATAATATATACAAAAAAATGTGTAATTACATATAATATGTTATGTGAAAAATGTTACATGAAATCAAAAACGTTATTTAGGAAAAAAAAAATTATATATTTAAGTAGTGTAAAAGTGCATAACGAGATTTCTAAAATTACATATAATGCATTATTCATATATATCATGCTTTACACAGTGGAACAATTTATAAAAGATATTGAAAATATTGCTGAATATAATAATATAAATATATAGAAAACAATGAAATGTTAACTCTTAAAATATACTCACTAAATTACATTATACAATATTAAATAACGAAATAATAACTTACATGTACATTAATATAACTCTATATAAAATTATTATAATAATATATTTTAAAAACATAATTAATCAATCCACAATATATAATTCATAATGAAAGTATAACTTACTTTTCGAATATATAAATATGTACTAATATATAAAAAAGCAAACTTAATAAAAAACTATAAAGCATTTTGTTAATGTATTCAGAAAAAATAACTTACTTTAAATTAGCAAGTTTTTAGCTAAAATAATGATCTTTTATTTTTTTCTAATTAAAACACACTCAAATAGATATCTCTTAAAAGAATATCATGTTTATTAACGTACACAATTAAAAAATATTGTATAAATGAATTAAAAGTATATAAATATTTTTATAAAGTTTTATTACAAAAGAATTAATCTATTATAAAATACATTATGTACACTACAACCTTGATTTTTATGCATTAATTTATATGAAAACACATATAAAATCATTAAAAATAATATAATATATTTATATAATGTTCTCGATAACAAGGACAAATGTATACATTTATAGGTATACACTCATAATCTGATCATATAAATATTGTTTTAAGAATATTTGTAATATAATTTTTAGCACGTGAATCTCATGTACATTGATTAAATAATTTAATGAGAAAGCAAAATAACTACT